AGTTCTCATAATTTGTCTGAGGAGGCTGTGAAAGGAAGAGTGAAGACTAGAGCAGCTCATCCTGGAGTTCTTGAGTAGGCATGAGACTAATAGTGTTTTGGATGTTCCATTTACTCTGGGTGAAATGATAGCAAGATCTGGATTAACATCTCCTGGGGAAGATGTAGTCTGCTATATGATGTTACAACATTTATTTCTGTTTCTGTTTTAAACCACGAAGGCTGATATTAAGCAACGTGCAAACTTTGCGCAAGAGTAATGCCAGTTAACGTTTTAACCTTCGCCAATTATACAAAGTGAAAGTTTAAAAAAAGTACAAACTGACAGTGCTTTCGGCATCTGACGCTGCATTATGTAGGCCTAGACGACAAGAGACAAATCTACTTCAACATCTGCTAATAACGGCATATAACTGTCTTGAATTATTCCTTATTTATATTGTGGAACATACATAGTGAAAAAAAGAGAGAGAAATGTATTTTGCGTTAAACAGGTTGTTTTCGAAAGTCGGTGCTTGAAATAAAGCTGCTCTTAATTTTCATTGATGACTGCAGTGTTAATAATTTTAATTCCAGGCCTATAATTCATTGATATATAAGTGTGGGATATGGGAAAACCTAATGCTTGGAAAGAAACAGTGATTATTCCTATTATTTCCTATTCCTAAAGCTGTATCTTTCTTTTATAAATCTGATAAAGCTAGACTCTTCGGAGATATGAAGGATGTAATACTACTATATACGTAGGTAGGCTATACTCAAGATTAACATGAGATTGGCGAAAATGTGTGTGTGTTATATGTCCCCTTTAATTTAGAGACTCACGTGGACATAAAGTGATGCCTCATACGTGAGGAGGCTGTCTGTGAGTAGCGATATATCTCAACAGCCTACAGAATGCAAATGCATACCATATTTACAGATCAAAAAATCAACTAAATTACAGTTTTTTTACGATCGCTATGACATTTTTTTCAATACTTCTACTTCTAATTTTCCTAAACTCTTAACACACCAACACACCTACAACACACAATTGACAAAATCACACATTGCAAACTAAACTCCAACACTAATTTTCGAATTACAATAATACCTACACCTACACAATACACTGCATCTTCCAAAACACTGCAAACATGTCTCAAAATCAAATTATTATTCCAAAACACTAACACATGTTCTCTTCCAACAGGAACATTTAGTCAATATCATAAAAACACTAACATCAAGTGGAATTACAGAAACTGCGTTATTGTAGGTGTCAGGTCTGGCCTTGAACAATAGACAGTGTATTGCATTGATCATAGATTGTGTTTTACACTACAGTTTGTTTTTCTTTTTGGGATTAGTAAATGCATGTATTTTGTTTATTTTGCTGCAGAAATTCAATACAAAAATGTAATGACCCATCTCAGAGTAGCTTTATAGAATTAATGGTTTATGGGGGGGGGGGGAGACAGAGACAGAATTGCTGCAGTAAAGGCTTTATTTGCAACAGGACATTAGAAAAAAAAAACTAAAAAGAAAACAAGAATGCAAGAAAACAAAAAATATATATGTACAATATAGTTGTCATTTATCATGTGAAAATACAAAATATACAAACAGAAAAAGCCACAGAAGAATAAAAAAATAAATATAATTTTTATATAAATACTATTTTTTATTATTTTTATTTTTTATTATAAATACTTCTGCGTTTGGCCACATGTTCTCATCCACATCACACATGATATATTCTCTGGCCAGGCATCTTGGGAAGAATCTTTTGGTATGCCTTATCCTTCCTGGTATTGTTCAGCTGTGATGACTTGGCATTCAGCATCCATTGCATCCTGGAGGGACATCTGGAGGGATGATGGTCAAAAACCTTCCATCTCCAGGCTCAGTAAAACTCCTCAATGGGGTTGAGTAAAGAGGAGTAAGGGGCAAGAAAAAGAGACATCATTCTCAAATGGTTGTCAAACCAGGCTCTGACTGCACTGGGAATGGTGGCATGCCACATTGTTCCATGTGATCACATATATTGGCAAGTGGTGTCCCACCTGTCCCCTTTCTCTGGCACCAGTCTTTGGTACAGATCTTCTAAAATCTCACACTTATGCAGGAATGCACTTTTCATTACATTTTCATTTACATTCAGTCATTTTGCAGATGCTTTTATCCAAAGCGACTTACAAATGATGACAATGGAAGCAATCAAAATCAACAAAAGAGCAACGATATGCAAGTGCTATAACAAGTCTCAGTTAGCTTAACACAGTACATTATAAATTATATAATAAATAAAAAGAAAACAAATAGATAGAATACAAAAAGATTAGAAAAGCTAGTTTATTTTTTTAATAATAATGAATAGAGGAGAATGAATAGATTGCAAGTCTAATGAATAGAGTGCAAGTCTAAAAGGGACAAGTTTTTTTTTTTTTTTAAGAATAGTACTATTCCAGAATTTAAGAATAATACTTTTCCACACAAGATCAGCCCAAAAAGGTCCTCTTTTACTGTATATCATATGGTCATGCGATTGAAAGAACCTCAACACCTGAGTGTGTTTTCTAGATGGGACTAAGCTGTAATTTATATTTTTGCATAATTTCAATCAGTTCTTTCTCATTAGCAATGGAATAAAATACAGGAGACATATTTGTGTTTCAATTCACAATATGAACAGCTGTTCATTTTGACTCTAGCCTATAAGTTAGTTTTAGAAAATGATGTTATCTGATCTGACATACAGTGTGAAAGCATTTTAAAATTTGCCAGTAAAATTACATTGTTTTGGTCTTGGTTGGGCTTGTGTGTAAAAGAAATTCAAGCATTTTAAACTTGTGTTAACTGTATGCATTTTGTGTCAAAGCAACAAGAAATGTGTTTATTGTATAGCCTACACAGACGGATGTTGTGCTAACTGTGTTAAGAGTTTAGGAAAATTGTTAAAAGTGATCGTAAAAAAACTGTAAAATAGCGTAGATAGCCACACGGTGGTGTGCTTTCACCACCATCCAGTTTTAAACTGCAACATTTAGCAACACTCAGGTACTGTACACAGTGGAAACAGCAAAATACTATTTTATGCATAAATTAATTGTGCATAAAACAGATTTATTATTATCATTATTATTATTATTATTTATGGTATCCAGCAACTGTTATATTTTTTAAAATGTGCAGCTTTGATTACCATTGACATCCACTGTATGGACAAAATAAATTATTAAATAAAAATGTATTATAAAAAACAATTATTAAAACAAATTATTATTTATGATTGAATTATTAAATAAAAAAACACTGAGGCATTTATTTAAAATGTATGTGTTCCACTTAAGAAAGAAAGTCATACAGGTTTGGAACAACATGAGGGTAAGTGATTTTTGGGTGAACTGTCCTTTTAAGGGGTTTTGTGCAACTGGGCCCAGACCTTCTGTAGGTTTGTTAAGTTTATGTTGGGCTGTAGACTAAATCTGTTTTGTAGTCCTATCTGTGACATTTAAACTGTGTCTTTTCTTTTAAATATGATTATATTGGGGTATGTCTGACACTAAGGTTTGTCCTTTATCTTATATTTTATGACTTACCACCAATGTGTATTGATAAAAAATATGAACTGAATATCACTGGTGTAACGGGGCTGACGAGACGTGAGACGTGTGGATCCATCTGCAAGCTTTTATTAGAGAGACGTGGTAAACAGGCAGGGTCAAACAATGGCAAACAGGTATATGGCGGGCAAAACACAAGAATAGTCCTAGGGCTAGCGTAGGTCCCCGATCGGCAGACAGAATCACAGGGGTGAGACGAGAGGGAAAAAAAACAGGAAAACAGGCAAAGATCAGATACCGCAGAAACAGGCAAGGCAAAACCAGGAAAACACAGAGACTCGGAAAGGGGTACAGGCTAAACAATACTCAGCAGAGAAATGTGGTTAGAGTGGGTGTTATATAGTGAATGAGGTAATTAGAAACAGCTGTGTGCAATGAGTGCAATCAGGACAGTGTGCAAATTGTGCAAAGAATGATGGGAAATGTAGTCCGGGGTGCTATGCAACAGTTTGTGTAGTGCGAGAGTCAATGTAATGGAAAGTGTGACATCTGGTGGTGAATAAACGGAAGTCCATGAACCGAATTCGTGACAACTGGCAGCTAAGAAACATTTGAATAACCTACTGTATGCAGAATATTACATCATTGTTAAAGGTACAAGCTTAAATAGCTGATTTACAGACTAGAAACTCAATAACAAATAATAAAAGCAGACAATTTACAGTGAATGCATGTGAAGGTAAAACTGATTTAAAATAATACACTTGTTGATAAACAAAAATGCTCATTAAAGAAGCATTGTTGTTCCTGTCAGGCAGCTTGAAATACAAGATAACTCTAATGGAGAGTTCATGTGAGACTAATACCAGTGCTTGATGGGTTTTTCATTGGCTTTCAGTTCTTTCCCAAGCATGCACCTAATGAATGGAATATATTTATAAAGCAAAGGAAACTAAATTAAAAATTGTGAACTTTCTCATAAGTTACTTGTCCTGTGTTCTAGCCTATTGTTTGTGTTCATGTTTACTATCAGATACTGTATGTCTTTTGGCACTGGTGTCATTTGAAAACATTGTCCTTGCTCATAAAAAGGACTAAAAAGTGTGCTTGCTTTTCCAGGATTGTGACAGGACAGTTAATGTTCAGGTTTATAAGAGACATGCATTTTCATACCAATACAGTCTTATCCTAGAAACACACAAAACAATATTATTACTATTATGTTCTGTTGTTTGAATATCATGATACTGTAACCAATGGAAATAATATATAAACAAAATCCATTTTATCAGTCAAAACTGAGATTCATATTCCATAACTGATGCAGCCAAAATCGAAGCCATGTGTTCATTGTGCTCTGGCAAATGCATGAATAAACTCAATCCCCAATGTCTCCAGGGCATATTCCATCCAGTATTAGAGCTTGTCCATTATCAGCAGGGATGAGAATGAGATGAGAAAACTAATGTAACTATTATTTTTAATACTGAGAAAGAAGCTCTTCACATTAAGAACAACAAAAAACTACCAACAACAACAATACAACAAAAGAGCATTTGAAAATATGCCTAAAAGAGCAGGTAAGTTATTTCTTTACAACATACAGCTTATCCCTTTTGAAAAAGAAGTGTGCTTAATTGTATTGAATGTACTTCAAATCTTTAAAGTATATTTTTAAAACAGGATTTGCAGAAAATACAAATGAAAGAAAGGGCCACTTAAGTGTCCTTAAAGAGAGTTCACTTTCATGACTATGCTTCTTAACACACTTAAGTACACTTTTAAAAAGTGCACCTTGTAATTATGTCAAATTACGTTTTGAAATCATTTGTTTTCATATGGTATAATATTATTTTGTCGTGCTTTAAAGAAGTACACTTATTTTAATGTGCTGACTAACATATTAAAGCAAAGGTAAAATGCTGGATTATATTTTTTAACTGTAGTGTTATTCAATATTATATTTAAAGTTAATATATTTTAAACATGCTAAATTGCAACGTCACATCATCATTTCACATCATTACAAATGTGTAATTACAAATATATTTAAATACATAGAAATTATATTACAAGATGTTTGTTGGTTTATGCTTGTGCTTGTTAGTTTATTCTTAACAAACAAAAATTAGTATTTCATAACAAAAGTAATTAAGAAATTACATATAAAGCTGTATTAAGCCCTGCATAAGTGGGTCAAAATGGATTTAATATACATGTAAACTGTATATATTTTTCATATGATTGTAAATAACATGCAAGTAATTGTACCTACAAGTATAATCAAATAAAAACAAAAAGTATTATAAAATATCGAACATGTGTTGGCTCTATCAGGTAACATCACTGTATAGATGTCGGCTACTTAATAATTTTAAAGGGATAGTTTACTAAAAAATACAAAATTATGCCATTATTTAATCACCCTCATTTTGTTCCAAAACTGTATTATTTTCTTTTTTCCATGGAACAAACATGGAGATATTTCATGCTACTCCACACCTCCAAGAGCTTTGGATAGGACAAGAAAATACTATAAAAGCACTGGAAAATCAAAGAAAATCTTCCCCTCAATTGCAGCTCTCAAATACCATTCTACATATTTGAACTGGTGTGTTGTGTACCGTTGTGGCCAATAGCATGAAGCTATAGCACAAATGGAAATAACATTTTAGAGTTATGACATGGGGGGAGGGGGGGAATTTTTAGTGAATAATGACTTAAATTTCAATCTGTCCCAGGCTTCAGAAGACCTGGAATATAGCGCACAAGTCATATAGACGTCTTTCATGATATTTTAGATCCTTTGTGGAGCTTAAAAAAACAGTTACTTTGGCATTTTTGTGTTCCACTGAAAAAAATAAAAAAATCATTTTAGACATAATTTAAAATTTTAGGTCAACTATTCCTTTTACATCCCTGTGTTTCATTCCCAATAGGCTTTGGTGATGTGGAACTAAGGATCTTGGTTATTGGGAGCAGTGGTCCATCTCAGTTCCTTCTCACCAACTTCATTTTGGGAAGAGAGGAGTTCTCTGAGGAAGTCTATAGCATTGCAAGCAGCCAGAAAAATGTGGGAGAGATAGTAGGAAGACAGGTCGCCGTAGTCAATGGACCGAACCTGTATGACAAAGGCATGTCCAAGTCCAAGATGAGGAAAGAGCTGAAAAGATCGATGTGCTTGTCGACTCCTGGACCTCATGCCATACTCATCACATTCGACCTGGAGAAGATCTCCCCCAACGATATGAAGACTCCCAAGCTGGTTAAGGATAAATTTGGAGAGAATGTGTTGAATTACACAATGATCCTCTTGCTTTATGACGGGCATCTGAGAGGCAGAGCGCTTGATGATAAGGTCATGAGAACAGACTGGCATCTGAGGGAGCTCGTGGAGCAGTGCAACTGCCGCTATCACGTCTTCAGTAAGAACTGGAGGAACCGCAGCGGGAGCCGGGAGCTCCTACATAAGATCGAGCGGATGCTGCAGACTATGGGCGGACACCATTACGTTAACAGATCTTACAAGAGGGCAGAGGAAAGCGTCAGAAATGAGGAGAGAAAGCTACGCAAGAAGAGACAGTCTGAGACCGAGCGGACGTGCCGGGAACTGGAGGAGCAGTTTCAGGGGGATGAGCTATGCTGGCAGATGGATGCCTTCAATGCGAGGTTGGGGGCAGAAATCAGGGCCGAGGCTGAGCTGCAGAATAGATGGCTCAGGACTTCACTGGCTGTGGGATTGGGACTGGGGTTTGTGGCTGGAGCCGCCATGGGAATGATCGTGGGCTCTGTGGAAGGGCCAGCAGGAATGGTGGTGGGAGGGGCTGTGGGTGGTGTCGTGGGCGGGGCTTCGGGTGCTGCTGCACAGCTGGCCATTGAACACGTGGATGACAGAGTGGGATCACATCCAGCCAGTTTTAATACAGCTTTTGTTAATCGCTTCTATCGGGCACCTCCAGTCTGAATGCGGCGAGGAACAGAAAGGGAGATGTTTCATGAAACGCAACACCTCCAAAAGCTTTGAATTGGACAAGAAAAAGCACTATAAAAGTAGTTCATTATGTGATATATTCAAAGTCTTTTCAAGTCAAATACAATTTTTTTTGTTTATTCACTGCATAATTACAGAAATGTATTCAAAGATAATCTTCCCCTCAATTGCAGTTCTCAAATATCATTCTCCATTCTACATATTTGAACTGGTGTGTTGTGCACCGTTTTTTTTTTAAAGCTGACCAGGGTTGCCAGGTTTGTGTAACAAAACCAGCCCAATTGGTTCTCAAAACTAACCCAATAGTGTTCCGGCGAAAACTATATTACCCATGGTTCTGCAGAGAATCTCCACCAATCTAAATAAATAGTTTTATATTTCAGCTTCATTTTTAATTGAATTATGCCATTCACAGTGCTTTGTGGGATTGTAGATCTTTCCCTCACTAAAGCCTTGTACCTTTGGATTTTTGTCAAATTTTTTAAATACTGTTTTGCTTGAAATAAAAGTTTGTAATGTTGTGATTCATGGCTTATACTGCTTTAACAAAGACTTTTAAAAAAATCTCTATGGGAAAATAAGTCGAAAATTCTTCCAGAACCAGCAATGCAGAAAAAGTTGGTGGACATTTATGCATATGGCATCTTTTCTTCTGTATTGTGACATACATTAATGCAGAAAAACATGGACTTGGCCTTCTTTTATTCTGTTACCGCAGGTTGTTTTTTAGTCCACGTGTTGAAACGAAACCCCCATGCCTCGGAACACTATTTCTATCGAGGTAAATTTTGATAGCCAATTACCCTGGAACATGACTGGGCTAATTTTGTTTGTGATTGGGCTAGTTTTGAGTACCAAAACCAGGTTTGAGTACCCTGGTTTTGTTACGCAGACCTGGCAACCCTGGCAACAACACATGCATGGATCAAAAGACCTATAACATGCATATGCACATATATCATGCATTTCATGCAGACTTTAAGTTGGAATCAAAGGAATTAACATCAAATATATATATATATATATATATATATATATACAGCCGTACTTTAAAGATAGTCTATTCGTTTTTTTTTTTTTATATCAAGCTTTAAAGAATACAGTCCTCATGGAATTAAATAATTTTATTTACAGAGCGAACTCTTGCCACCTCTGAGAAAAAAAAAGCATTTGCATTAATCAATGAAAAACAAATACATTACAAATATTACTCTCCAGAGAATTCCATAAAATAGAAAAATATTTTCTATCTTGCACAAAAACGTTTTTATAGTATTTCAACACACCCCTGGGCACACATGAACTTGTGTAACAGTATATAACTACTTTAGAAGTCATTTAACTTATGTTATGGCAGGTGTGATTTATATGGGGGCCAAAAGTCTCAGACCACAAGACACCATTTTGAATTTTTCTAATTCAATAATTTTTTTTTAATTACACGTTATAACAATTTACTGAAAAGTTTGATTGCTAAATTGTATTGAATTGTATGTATTCTAGAATGTATTATGTGGTTTGTCCTATATTTTTGCTTTGATTTTTTTCTGATGATGTGCACTTTTCTGTTTTAAATAAAAATGTATCTTGCATTTATAGCTGCCATGCTCCAGTGTTTTTCAAGTGTGACAGTAGCAGATATACATAAGGTGACCTCATTTTGAATTAATATTTTGAACCACATTAGGGCTGTGCACAGACATTTTGAGGGGCAAACCAAAACAAACCAACCCCCACCCACCCCTGACTTATTACAAATATACCCTCCCCAACTTGAAGTCATCACATTATCCCATACACTGCATACTGGTCCTCTAAAATGCTTTGCTGGTGGTGTCAAACAGTAACAGGATGACCCCCTTTTAAGTTCCCCTGTTAAAAATAATAAAACAACATGCATATTCTTTTTAGAGTATACACTTATATTACTATGTTATGCTAGACGCATCATGACACACAGCGAAGACTATTCTGCTCAGTTTGAAGGAAATGTGTTATATAAATGTGTAAATCTAAAAAATGATGAAAATGCTGGGGGTTGATAGCCCCAAACACATGTTTTACTAAAATTACATTTCTCCAAAACTGTATTTAAAAAAGTTAGGCTATAGAAACAAATGGTTACACTTTACTTGAAGGGGTGTGCATAAGACTGACATGACACCTTCATAATCATGACATGACACCTACATAATCATGACATGACACGTGTCATGAATATGACGGTTTTTATGCATGTTTATGACAACTGTCATTAAGTGTCATTCGCTCAGTTATGTAATTTTTAATGCAAAGATGACATTGTTTGAGATGTCTTTGTTATGGGCTGTGGTTAGGGGTAAGGGTAGGGGTAGGGTTAGGTTAGGGTTAGGTCAAATAATGTCATATTTACATTAAAAATGACATAACTGAGCGAATGACACTTAATGACAGTTGTCATAAACATGCATAAAACCTCCTTCATATTCATGACATGTGTCATGTTATGATTATGAAGGTGTCATGTCAGTCTTATGCACACCCCTTCAAGTAAAGTGTTACCAAACAAATTAAGTTATTTCACTCAAAGTGTAAGGGACTTAAAGGCAGCAGGCGGCAGTCATTAGAAATAGCTACATGAAGGCCTACAGTAAGCTACATTCACTTTCACGCGTTCTGCCTTTTTTGTTCATCAACCTGTACTTTGGTGAAAACCACAGGAAATAGTTAGGCTATGTACACATCTATAATGTATTTGAGTATTGTTATGTGTTGAGAAAACAGGCTATTTGAGAAAGCGTCCATCATGCAAATTCAAAAGTTCACTCAGTGACTGTTATAATTCGATAAAACATGGATTAGTAAATAATTGTTATGGATATTGGTTGCGAATGAATTAACGCAAATGCTGCACTTTTTAGTGCACGTCGTGACAGAATGTAGTTTTCATGAATAAACTTTTGCCTTAGCAACTGCATTAAGGACAGTCAATGCTAAATTATTATTGAACCTATGGCCGCAGGAATAGTGACCCGGATTTTCAAAAATAAAACTTTTGAAAAGCGCTTTTGACTTGAAAACACATACTATTAAAATGAAAGCAGTTGAGAAAGACAAGCGGTCCAAACCAATCAAATGTCAGAAAGCAATCACGTCAGAAAGAGGGATCCTGCTTTAGGAAGTGTTGTTGCTGGAGCGTTTTGTTTGTTGCCATTTACTAACCTGCAAAGGTACTTTTTTGGAGAAACACCTAGGTGTCGAAAGCAGTTGAGAAAGACAAGCGGTCCAAACCAATCAAATGTCAGAAAGCAATCACGTCAGAAAGAGGGATCCTGCTTTAGGAAGTGTTGTTGCTGGAGCATTTGTTTGTTGCCATTTACTAACCTGCAAAGGTACTTTTTTGGAGAAACACCTAGGTGTCCTAAAAAACTACAACCTTATGCTCTTTTCAGGTTCTATATTGTAATGATTACTTATTATTTTTGCTTATTCTTACCTTCTTATTTTCCACTTAACATACATAGACCAAAATTTGGTCTCATATGCTAGATCTAGCATAGCCTATTAGAGAGTGATTTATTTGTATAATATTTCATTTCTGATTTATTACACAATTTATGTAAAGTAGGTAGTACACAAGTACTGTGAAATACTATACATAATAAAATTGAATCTGTGTGCGTAACATTTGTTGCATTATTTTTTAGTGGGATGCTGCTGGTTTGGCCTTCAGAGTGAAGGTTTCAGTGAGTGAATCATTGATTACACTGCATGGCAAATATTTATTTATTATTATTTTTAAATAAAATTACTATATTTAGTTCATATTAATAGTGTACATGCTTTGGAATGGTTTATTTGGTACTTTTACGTTCTGTATTGTTTTAATGGTACAGTAAGCATAAAACGTAACATGAAAATGCTGTCATCATTTACTCACCCTCATTAGTTTATTTTTTAAAGTTTTTAATTTCCTTGTTTGATTGTTGTGATTTTTTTTTTCCTTTTATATAAAGCACTTTGAATTACCATTGTGTATGAAATGTGCTACATAAATAAACTTGCCTTGCCTCATGTCGTTCCAACCATATGACTTTGTTCTGCTAAACCTAAAAGAAGGTACTATTATAGTTTTTATTAATATTTTGAATTAGTTCTTATTTTGAATTTTCTGTGTTCTGTTTTGTTTTGTCATTTTTATTAGTCTTAGTTTTTTAATATATTTATACATTTTTTTAATTAATTTTATTTCAGTTTTAGTTATTTGATTACATTGCAAATGAGAAATACTGGCAAATAATTTTACCTTTTTAATATTTTATTTCAGTTCAGGTATTTTATCTATCTATATATATATATATATATATATATATGTTATTTGTTTCTGAAAATGTATTTTTCTTTAATAGGATAGCATATCCTGAATTCTTCAACTGCTGTCAGTGTTATTCTTAAGATGGCATCAGTCAAAGGGAAAATACAGAGAAGAGCAAGCTTAGAAAGTCCACCGAACAGTGAGTTGACAAACAAACTAGAACATTTGAGCAATTAGGGTTAACATGATTAACAATGAAAGATAATCTAATTTCATCTAACAGTGAGCAGAGAAACACCACTGAGGATGGTGGTCTTCGGCAAATCAAGTCGTGATCAGATCTCACTGACCAGTGGTGGACGAAGTACACAAATCAAGTACTTGAGTAAAAGTACAGATACGTATAATAAAATATTACTCCAGTAAAAGTAAAAGTACTCCTTTTTCAATTTTACTCGCGTGAAAGTACAAAAGAACTCGATTTTTTTATGTACTTAAGTAAAAAAGTACTGATAGATAGATTTATTTTGCAATTTTATATAGGCTACTTAATTAAATTTTATATTAGCACATATTTTTTATAATCCTACTGCTCAAAATACGTGGGATTTTCCCAAAATAACCACTATATGGAGTCAAGATATATTTTTGTTGTTGATATGGACTACGTTGACGAGAGTGATGTAGTAATGTTCACTATGAAGCTTACACTGCGATGTACTTGAGAGAAAACAGATTTGACCATCTGATTTTCACCAGTAAGAAAAAAGTGTTTTAAAGCTTGTTTTGCAGAACATCACAGTTACATGAGAATAAGGCCTGAAGTTAGGAAGAACATTTAAGGAAAATATAATTATATTTTCATAATGATTTTTTTCTTCTCAAACCTTGTCTGTGGTGTAAAAACACCCCTGCCCAAATGCCCCCAGAGGTCATCACTTCCCACTTATGATAATTACTGTAGTTACCATGTTCTGAACATCACAGCCTTTCTTTTCCCCCCAGATGTAATCTATCTAGGTGGTTGAATAAAAATATTTGGACTTTATATCTAAAAATTACCTCAATTTAGCACCAGCAAGCTTGTTAGCTAGACAGTTAACATCAGCTAACAATATTTACTTATTTTCAGTATGGTTATGAATAAACATTCATATCTGTCTACTCCGCTAGTTAATCCAAACAATATAAAAATGTATACTGTTGATAAACAATATAAAAACAGACGTCACACAGGGCTAAATGCGTAGCATTTTAATAAAACTGTTAACGTTACGGCAGTGGGGAATATGAACGTGCATGAGTTATTTTATGTAATCTGTGTTATTTTAATGTTTCGTTTTTTTTTTACCTAAAACATAGAGACACTGATGTTGATGTGTCTCTGCATTCAAGCATTTCAGTAATAAGGAGTAACGATATGTTATATGAAATGTAGTGAAGTAAAAAGTACGATCTTATGATTTGGAATGTAGTGAAGTAAAAGTTACTCAAGATAAAACTACTCCAGTAAAGTACAGGTACTTGAAAATTGTACTTAAGTACAGTAACGAAGTAAAACTACTCCGTTACTGCCCACCACTGTCACTGACGCGGTCTGTGATGGGGCCAGATGCCTTTGCCATGAGATGAAGTCAATATTTCAGCTACCAAGAAAAAGTTCAGGGGTTGTGCAGGAGAAAACCATAACCCTATAACACACCATATCTTCAGGAAAATTACATGCCGGACAGTATACTTCATAAGGAGCTCAGGAAGGCGGTTTATTTCTCATGTCCAAGTCCTCATGCTGTGGTGTTTGTTGTAGACCCATTTCATTTGACCTCTGACACTATGGACATTCTGAAGCCTATGGTACACTACTTTGGGGAACGTGTTTTGAAGCACAAATTAATTGTTTTATACTATAAGAGAGCCATGAAAAGAATAAGAGATTTAGAGAGCTTGCTGAGAATTGTGGCCAGAACTACATCTTCTTTAATGAAGAAGTTAAGCAGACAGATGGTAGCCAGACACAAACATTGCTCACCAAGGTGGATGAGATGTCTCGGAGCATGGACTGTTTTCAAACGTTAGAATTGTCGATTATGCTGTTGCAGTGGGAAAAGGAGCGTTTGTAAGTGCACTTCTGGGATTTGCAGTAGGATATGAAGGTATGGCAGTGGGAGCTGCGTTTGGTGCTGGTCTTGGTGCTGTGCTTGGAGGTGGAGCTAATGCAGCATGGAGCTACATTTACAAATCCTTGACAGATGCCCTCTAAGGGGCTCCCATAGAGGTGTGCAGTATTCACAAAAAATTATATCTCAATATTTTTTTGTGATTTTTTGATAATGATAATTAAACAATATTTTGCTTCGTGTGTGTTTTGTACTTGCTGGTTTAGGCCTATCATGGATAAATAAACATGACATTAAAACTGTAGGTGGCGGCAAGTCCCATAATTAATTATTAGTAAGTGATTCATTGAATCATTAATTCAAATGATTTGTTCAAAATTAATTTAGAAATTAAGCAAGTGGCTGTCTTTATGAATGGATTTTTGAATTACTGACTCAAATGATTAGTTAAAAAACAGATCCATTCAGGAACTAAACGCTGCAGTGTTTCTCTGAGATGCACAAATGTTCTGCTTTGGCTTTGTTTGGAATTATTTTCATTGGTGAAACATAATTTCGTTGTTTTTTTTGTGAACTGTTGTATAAAGTTAGCCACTTCAGTGATCGCGCTCACAGGCTAATATTCATGAAAACGGCACTCTTGCTTGCTTGATTTTATATAATATCTTATGCATATAAATAAGGGATATATTTTGCACTCCTAACTTGAATAATAGGAGCATTTTTACTGCACTCTAATAGACTGCATCACACAGTGAATGCTTTTGGACTTTCAAGATGTGTTTTTATTTGTTTATTTTTGCAGAGTGCGTAACATACTCGATAATGTCAGCTCACATTTCGTTAAAACAACAATTATGGTAATAGACGATAAGTATTGCAAACCCCTACCTCCCACATGCATGATGCATTTAAAAGCTGAATTGGTTGACTTTAAACATTGTCTGGAATCATTTTATTTTCTTTTGAATGCACAATGATAAAAGGAGGTTTTCTGTGGATGAAGTAGTCATCAGTAGGCAGCTACTGAGTTTCAGTAACAGTTTGAGGTCCCATCCTGATCCTTTTGCCTTTTTAAAAAATCTGTACTTTTTTGCCACTCATTAGCAAAGCACAAACTATAAAAACATATTTTAACTTAATGTGAATATAAAAATAGTAGAGCTATTTGGAAATCATGAGTAATTGTCAAACACTCGTAAAACTATGAAAGTGTTCTGACCCAATAATATTTACAGCTGCCACATCTGACTGTGAGGGCTATATAGCCATTATTTTGTAATCAAAACAGAATTATTGCTGGTCTTCGACAATAATTGCAAGTCACTTTAATGCATTTAAGTAAAAACATTATAAGGATTTTATTGATATTGTCCTTTGTCTAGGGCGTTTCCAAAATTTTGGAGGGAACTGTGTGAAAAAAAAAAAAAAAAGGTAAGTGATCGATTGCAACCCATTGAATAAAACCATGACCGCAAATAATATTTCAATAAATAATGAGCAAATGTTTTATGTCAGGGTGCATTATTCCTTTAAACTTGCTGCATTTACAATTACAGTAGGCTATTTCTGAAAGAAAACCTGTTCTTCCTCCAAACAGAGCACATGTCTCCGAGAGGTTCAGGAAAGTCAAAGGGTGTTTTCTTCTCTGTTGGGCACCTTAGAGAAGAGCCATAAACTGGTAGTGGCAGCAGTTGAGCAGAAACAAAAAGAGGCGGAGAAAAGAGTTGAAAGGCTTGTAAAAGACCTGGATAAAGAAATCCTTGAACTGGAAAATGGACACACCAACCCTGAGCACTTGGATGACAAGGAGCGCCTTAAAAAGGTAACCACATCTAATTTCTCTTTTGATAACACAGTGAATCAACATTTTATAAAAGTTTGTTTCGCTTTTATTATTGATGTTTCTTTATGAAGATTGACATGCTGAATATGAGAATCACATTACTTTTTGTGTATCATTGACAGTGCATAAAAACAAACAAACAAACAAATGTTGACAACTCATACAAGCTAATCTGCTATTACACTCTTAAAAATAAAGGTGCTTCACGATGCCATAGAAGAACCTTTTTGTCTAAATGGTTCCATAAAGAACCTTTAACATCTGAAGAACCTTTCTGTTTCACAAAAGGTTCTTTGTGGTGAAAGAAGGTTCTTCAGATTATAAAAAGGTAAGAAAGAGATGGTTCTTTAAAGAACCTTTGACTGAATGGTTCTTTGTGGAACCAAAAATGGTTCTTCTATGGCATCGCTTGAAGAACCTTTTGAAGCACCTTTATTTTTAAGAGTGTACTTATGCATACAAATGATGATACATACTTAGCTAACAACAACAGTTTAGCATAAACAGTTACCAAAAGTGAGTCGTCCAAAACCTCAGAAGGGTACGTTAGATGATTTTTGTCTTGAAACTTCTTGAATGTTCCCATCTTTGCAAAAGCAAAATATCTTTAAAAAACATGCAAAATTAGTACAAAAACTTATCTGTACTATACCAATTTTTCATACTTAATGTTAGAAGTTCTCAAATTGATCTGTCCTAAATATTATGTTACGTATTGTAAAGTATTGATCTCCCCAAAGTGAAAATTCAGTAATTATTTACTCACCTTCATGTTGTTCAAAACTTGTATGTTCTATTTTTTTTTCAGTGCTACATGAAGTATTTTTTTTTAGAATCTTTACACAGCTCCTTCCACACAACTCGTCTGTTCCGAAAAGGCTCAGAAAGAGCCAATGGACACATTAAAAGTAGTCAATATGACTTGTGCGTTATTTTCAAAGTCTTCCGAAGTCATGCAATAGCTATAAGTAAAGAACAGATTCAAATTTATGTGGTTCTTATTTGAAAATCTTCCCTTTTGCCGTAACTTGGCACATCACATTTGGTTTTGAAATCAACACAATGTCTGTAGTATGTATTAAATATCAGTCTGAAAAAAATAACAGCATACAGATTAGGAACAACATAAAGGCAAGCAAATAATGACATAATTTTTATTTTGGGTGAAGTTGACCTTTTAGCAAGTTTTGCACAGTATAGAATAAATGACATATTTTCATCTACAGAGCTTCAGTGATATACCACGAGCAATGAGAGACTGGTCTAAAGTCACACTGGAGACTGATCCTTGTGTTGGCTTGACCGGGCAGGCTGTGGTGGACTTCATGGATACAGTCACGATGGAAGCTAAAAGACTTTCTAAAGCTGGTATGACTGCATGATTAAAATAACACTACAGTATATGCTTCAGTATTTCATACTGTCCTCAGTTTGTCCTTCTGCTTTTAGTAGGCTACATATTTTTTTCACAGCTTCATCTGTTTATCATATGTATGCTTTCTTTAGCATTTAAAACATTAATGCCATGTCCTGGGGTCAAAAGCTGTACAATTTTAATGTATGACCACATTTTTCTTCTTAAAAGGGCAGATAACATAAATGGTGATGATACATCCACACCAGTAGGTGGCAGAATAAAGTCCAAGAACGTTTTGCTCATGTATTTGTTCAACTATATACAGTGCTGGGTATTAACTGCATACATGTAATCTGGATTATGTAATCAGACTGCAAAAATTAAGTACTTGTAATCAGATTATATTACATTTTAAAATGCTCATAATGAGATTACAGTTACTTTTTTGTGGATTACATGATTACATTTTATTCACACACACACACACACACACACACATTTTATAATTCACCCCAGTTCTTTTTTTCTTTTAAATTTACCCTTCTAAATGAACATACTACTTATTGATGAGACTAATATTTATGCAAGTTACTAAACACTGCTGATGCATAGCTGTGAAATAGGACATGTCTTCATCATATCCAGTGATCTTCACTAATTATTAATATTGGAAGCCTGGACAACAATATTTCAAGCCTGGAAGACTTTGGCCATGTAATCCTGTTCATTAATGTTTTTATGATTTCATTAATTATTAGTTTTTTACACAGTAATCAAATAATCACAATAATCCCTCCATGTGATAAACAAGCTAGGTTAATAGCAATCTAAAAGTAATCTAAAAGTATATACTGTACATATACATTTTTCTGCCATTGGAGAAAAATCTGGTGTAGTTAGAAGCTAACTGATTAAGCTAACTCGCTAAACCATGATCTTTGAGAGCAACTTAAATAGCACAGCATCATTTCGTAGGCCATTGATGTTTCAAATGCAATTTGCTATTTTTCAGAACTGAAGAGACTGCAGAAGTACTCAGGTGTGTCTTCATTGTACATTTATTTTTTTATATATATAGAATTTGTTTTCTGTCATTGTTTCATTGTTTTGCAAAGCTAATCATCCATCTTCCTTTTCAGTTGATGTAAATCTGAATCCTCGGACAGCTCACACTTACCTCTACATCTCTGAGGACAGGAAGGAGGTTAGACATGCGAATAAACGTCAAGAAGTCCCAGAAAACCCCAAAAGGTTCGACCGTGTGGCAAACGTAATGTCCAAGGAAGCCTTTAGCTATGGAAGACACCTTTGGGAAGTGGAGGTTGGAGACAAGACTGACTGGGATCTGGGAGTAGCCAAACAATCTGTCAACAGAAAGGGAAAATTCACAATATGTCCAGCCAACGGCTTCTGGATGCTTAGCTTAAAGAATGGCACCCAGTTCACTGCCAACACATTCCCTCCAACTTTCTTCAGCCTCAGTCACAAACCTAAAAGAGTGTCTATTTACCTGGACTATGAGGAGGGACGTGTGTCTTTCTATTGTTTGGATACCGGGACTCATATCTACACTTTCAAAGATGCTTTCACAGATAAGCTCCACCCCATCTTCAGCCCGGGACGACCCCACGGGGAAAAGAACACTGCTCCCCTTATCATCAGCAGCAGCTGCTGCAGCATCTGAAACAATATGCTAGCTCTTACAGCTCTTTCACTTTCTTTACCATTGCCATTATAGGATGCAATTAATTGTATTATTATTATCATTACAAAAAATACTTTCTATTTATTACTGGTGCTTGCTAAAACCTTAATTTTTGATGTGACTAACATACCAAAGCACATGTAAAGTACTTGATTATAATTTTAACTTCTCTGTGTTTTTTTATATTACACTTAATATAATATAATATAATTTAAATTGCAGCGTTGCCTTCGTCATTATGAATGTGTAATTATAAATTCATTTAAATACCATGACTATCAATAGCAATCACATAGTTCACCATTATTGATGGTCACGTTTGGCAGTACACTTTACCCAAATTTCAAATACAATAATTATGAAATTACATACAGTATAAAGCTGCGCTTAAGTCCTACATAAGTGGGTAAGCTAAATGCATTTAATATACATTTAAACTATTATAAATTATAATTTAATTGTAAGTAACAATAATTTAAAAGTTAAAAGTAATTTAATTTGATTTGCAATTAGGTATATTCTTTTAAGGTATATTATTTCCATAATAAGTACCATTTTAAATGTATTCTAAAGTGTACTTCCTTTTCATAGGGGACCACATAGCAACATGCTAAGAAACACTCAGATCACTTTAGCAACCCACAACATCGCAGCAGCATCATGGCGGTGAAATTTAGTTATCATTACAATTTATATAGGTTATGATAATCAAATTATGATGATTCCTTTTTTATTTAAATTAACAAAATCCAATCTTTTGAAAATGTAGAAGATTCTAATCCAAAATTCCACAATTGTACTTTTATGTATTTATTTATTTATTCCTTAAATGTTATTTGTAACTTTACACATATGCCATTGTCATGAGACATGAATGTAAGACTTTAACATATTGTACTCACTCTGTGAACTTTTATGAAAGCGAAATGAAAACAGAGTTCACTTCAAGGAACAAGAAGGCAATGGATGAAAAAGAGGACTAGATGGATGGGTTGGAGATGGAGGAGGGCGAGGGCGAGAGAACAGCGAGTCATTGTGCTGGTACACCAGGCACTGGGAGACACACTCAAGACACATTAACGCATTCACACACTGACACAAACGCGCACATAAGCACATGCTTCTGCCCACCGCTACACAGACCCGAGCTGGTATCCCAGAGGGCAGCACTTCACTCCTGTCCTTGCCTCTGAATCTTACAACCCAAGTGACATTCACTCTAGCTGAGCCTCTTCAGAGGTCTGAATCTGTAGGTTTCACCTCCATCACAGGTGTATGGCATTTCGGGTCAAGCTCTGTATCCAGATCGAAGGTAGCCAAAGCAAGAAGTTGGAGGATTAGCAGATGAGTGACTGTGGAAGGAGTTAAACTTCAGAGACTTTGTTGTCGTCCATCAGGTAACAACAATTTCAGTAATTTATTATGGAAATCAGAAGTATGGGTCAGCAAATAACTTGATATGTTACTAAAAGAACTAACAATTTTGTCTAGGCTGTTTTTAAACGTAGGGTTCACGATTGAGACTTGTGCAGCACTGTTACAGCAGCATTCAGAATTGACATAAACAGACTCAGGTCTACGTGGCCCACTCTGAATGTTTCAAAGAAAGCTTCTTGTGTCCAGAGGCTCCTCATGTTTTTCTGAGATAATCCACTCACCCCACCAGGCGTAGCTCTACACCCACCGCAGTGTGAAAAGAACCCATTCTCTTGGATGTATAGTGAATCCAGTAATGCTCACTGTACATAACAGTGCCCAAATATTAATGTATAAAACCACATTAATATTTAAAGGAATGTTCTGTTTTACAAGTTAAGTTGCATAAACAGCATTACCACAGAAATATATTAAAAACAGCATGGTATGATACAATAGAAGCACATAGGACCAGGTATTAAACAATAAAATAAACACAGTTTCAGTAATATTGCCAAGTACTGTGGGTTTACACTGCAAGATTTAAGTGCTAATTTCCATTAAGTTAATGGATTAGTGACAAAAGCCTGAAGTCGAAAGCAAATAGGTGCTTGTTCACATGACGATCTGAAAAATTTACATTGCAAATGCCCAAGAGATATTTAGCAGGTTTAATATCTAGACTTCTCTGTGACTCCAAATCCTGCCAAGTGAAATGTGTTTTGACTGGAAAAGACCTCAGCAATGACAGACAGTTGTGTAGAGTGAAACCAACAGCAATGCAACGACTTTGAAAGTTGTATAGTGCATGGGCAGCATTAGATATTACACTTGTTAACATGTGACTAGTGTGATGAATCACTTACTGACTTACAAAAAGTGGCTTTTTAGCTGGACCAAAAATATATACTACTCACAGGAACGATCTCTGGAATGGATAACCAGAAGTTTGTCCACTTAAAAAAAGTAGTTCCACCACAAGGTTGATTTAGGCAACTGTACAGCTCACATATATTTACAGAGTAACACATATGTACATTAACAAAAACATGAGCTTTACTTTTATGACTTTAACCTTCTTTAACACTGGTTGTTGTAACCACAGGTTTTGCCTTTTTTAAAACCAATTGAAATTATCTAAAAAAAAAAGTAAAAAAATAAATAAAAAGGTACCTTTAGGGGTACAATAGCTTGTCATTGGGATATTCCCCTGAAAAGGACATCTTTGTGCCTTATCTATCCCTAAACAGTTCATAGTAGTACCTCATAGGTACTCTAAGGTACTTAAATGCACCTTATAGAAGAAGATAAGGTATAAAGTTTGCTCTTTGAGGGTACTACCCCAATGACAAGCAATTTTGCACATTTCTTGCAGCATATGCCACAAATGCTGTCGATAGAGCTTAACCCAGGGGTGTCATGAGTGCTTCTGTGGGGCCAGCTTCCAAAAAAAAAACTTATTTCGAACCCTAGTCAAACACTGGTGTGTTTTGGTAGGTTGAAACTAAATTTTACAGGACATTGGCCCTCCAGGAGCAGGATTGGTAACACCTGGCATAACTTGAGCCCAGAACTTCTCTTTAAGACAGGTGTGCTCTTGGAGGGCCATGTTCCTGAGTTTAGCTCCAAGACACCTGCTTGGAAGTTTACAGTGATCCTGAAGACCTTGATTAGCTGGATCAGGTGTGTTTAATTACAACTTTGCTGGATGGTGGCCGTCCAGGAGCAGGATTCTACATGACTGGTTTAAGCCCATTAATATTTTAGAAACATTTGGAAGAGTCAAGAATTTAGAAGACAAGAAGTCCTGTCAGTGTGTGTTTTTTGGAGTTTGTATACTGTAACAACATACTATAACTTTCTGTAACTTATACTCATTCATTTGTTCCAGTCTTTAGGTCCACTTGTCTGTCTACTATCTTCATTCATTGGAACTCACTTTGGAAAGACTTTGTCTTCGCAATTCTCACTGGCGTTGAAGTCTATTGAAGGCTTCTGTCTGTGCTATCCATTGGACTCTTCCAAGTGATCATTCTTGGAAAAGATTCACCATGGCAACTACCGGCATGCAGCTGTTTGGCCTGGTCCTGTCCATCATGGGCTGGGTGGGTGGGTTCCTGGTGTGCACCCTGCCCATGTGGAGGGTCACCGCCTTCATCGGAAACAACATTGTAACGGCGCAGATCACATGGGAGGGCCTGTGGATGAATTGCATCTGGCAAAGTACAGGGGAGATTCAGTGCAAGGTCTATGACAGCCTGCTGGCTCTTCCTAGTGACATGAAGGCCGCCCGGGGTCTGACGGTCCTCGCTTTGCTCATCTGCACCTTGGCGCTCACACTGGGCGTTCTGGGTGTTAAGTGCACTGAGTGCGTGGGCCTCCCAAGCCTCAAAGCGCGCTTGGCCCGCGTGTCCGGTATTCTCTTTGTCATCGCGGGGTTCCTCATCCTTGTACCTGTCTGCTGGACGGCCCATTCTATCATCAGGGATTTCTATGACCCCTATGTGGCAGCCCCTCACAAGCGTGAGCTTGGCCCCGCACTCTACCTGGGTTGGGGGGGTTCGGCTCTGCTTTTGATCGGTGGATCGCTCCTCTATGCAGGGTCCAATCCCCCTGGGATTCCCTCTTCTCCTACATTTAGCAGTGGCGAGAGCAGCCCACGTCGAGCGGGTGGACCAGCCCAGGTCAAGGGTTATGTTTAATAGCCAGCATCGACACACCAGTCCCCGAAAGCCTTCTCTGCTAGAGTTTCCCATTGTGATAGATTCAAGTTAATTTTAATCTATTTTTATCATTCAGAATATTTCTGTAGTGTGATAGAGGTAGTGAATAGAAATGTGAAATCAAGTTTCCTTGCCACCTCTAATGTCCACTTATAAGGCTGTCTTTCTTTGTGTTTGTCTATTATGTTATTCAATAATAAAACGTATGCAGGGTCCAATCCCCCTGGGATTCCCTCTTCTCCTACATTTAGCAGTGGCGAGAGCAGCCCACGTCGAGCGGGTGGACCAGCCCAGGTCAAGGGTTATGTTTAATAGCCAGCATCGACACACCAGTCCTCGAAAGCCTTCTCTGCTAGAGTTTCCCATTGTGATAGATTCAAGTTAATTTTAATCTATTTTTATCATTCAGAATATTTCTGTAGTATGATAGAGGTAGTGAATAGAAATGTGAAATCAAGTTTCCTTGCCACCTCTAATGTCCACTTATAAGGCTGTCTTTCTTTGTGTTTGTCTATTATGTTATTCAATAATAAAACCTTAAATCCTTTATAGTGTCATCTCATGAATTTTTTGGACATCTGGCTGTTTATTCAGATTGATGATGTCACTCGTGTAACTTAAAGGGATAGTTCACCAAAAATGTTTGATTCTGTCATAATTTTTCTCACCTTCATGTTAGTCTAAACCTGTATGACTTCCATTCATCTTTGAAACACAAATGAAGATATTTTTTATGAAATCTGAGTCATTTCTGTCACTGAAGGGCATTACACAAAAACATTGACTTTTCTAAAAGTTTATAAAGACATCTGCAAAAGGTTTAATGTATTTACGTGACACAAGAACAAACCTCATTGGTTCTGGTACGGCGAACAAGTACGGTTTACCATATTTGTGCTCTATGTCTGTTTGTTGATCAATGTTTATATGTGAATAAAAGACTAAATTAAACCTGTTCATAAAGTGATCATGTTTCTTCAGAAGACTTGGATTCATTCATTCATATAGATTACTTTAACAAAGTCTTTATGAAATTTTGTCAAAGTTTTGGTTACATGGACTTTTTTAATGAAAGGACAGAAATCTCTCAGTTCCCCGCTGGCCAGACGAAACAAGCATGGTGTGGTTTAATTTCAGGCTGCAACGCACGTCAGATAAACCTCTACCTCTCATGTAAACAGTTTAAATGAAGCCATTCTTGGCTTGTGTTGTCTCGGCTCTCTGAGCATCTCTGGCTGTTGTTATGGGGGCTGCTTCTACAGACAGCAGTACAATACCACTGTATGTTGCACCACCAGGACAACATTTACAATAGCTGCATTGTTTACTGCGCCAGGTAGTGACTCATGTATGACCTAATGCTACGAGTGAAAATCCAGGGTTGTAAAATATAGAAAAGTGGTTATTGTTGTCTTGACTGCTGGAGTATAAGGGATAAAGGAACCTAGGCAGAGGGTGGTTGGCACCAGGGCTTATTTTTATATAAGGGACAAGTGTTATATTCAGGTAGCTCTTTCACATTACTTACTGTACAAGGGAGTTGAAGATACAGCATTGTTTGCAACAAATATACTGTATAAATCATGCAGTGACTGGTACACTCAAATTTTCTGCTTATTCTCATTTCTTACCACAATGAGCAATACAAAATTACTTTACTGTGTTGTTGTGATAGCAATAATGGCCAATTATGCAGATAAGTGCCTACATTATATATATATATATATATATATATATATATATATATTAAGGATGTCTGAATACTTTCCGTACCCACTGTATATGTATATATATCGCGTATCGCGTATCTTGTCAGTCTCTGCGCTTGCTTGGCCATTTGTTGCGGAGAAAGTAAGGAAAGTGTGTCCAGCTGAATTAATTTAGTATTTTGTTAGGCGGGTATAAAAAAGCTTAGTTTACCGCGGCAGCCGTCGTGTGAAGGCCTCCTCGTGTGCAGACCGAAGAGTGTAAAGACCATCGACTCTACCGTGCGACTCCACCAGGCAGGACACCGGCAAAGGATAAGTATTACCTTATTACTTGTTTCGCTTCTGTTTCGGTCTTTATAACCATTTCTTACTATGTGTAAGTAAGTTGTTGTTTTTTAGCATGTAAGTTTGGCAGTGTTATTTTTTAGGATTACTGATAAACTACTGTCATTGATTTGTATTATTTGTATTTGTTATTTATTTTAATTTTAGTTACATTATGTCCGAATTTATTATGTCTGTATAGGTCTTTTATTAAGTTTTTAGTTTTATTTAATTTGAGTTATTTTAATACTTCAACAAACTAAATGGAAATGAAATAATATATATATTGAATTTATAAATGTGTATGTACATATATATGTATGTGTGTGTGGTTGTACATACACAGTGAGGGGACTGTGACGATTTGTTAACCTAATGAATAATTGATTTGTTAAATCAAATTAAAATTAGTGTGTCAGATTGGTCGAGACGCTACACCCTGTAGCCCAAGACTGGTTGCCCACTGACTAAGCAGGGCTGTACCTGGACGGGAGACCTCCAGAGAAAACTAGGTTGCTGCTGGAAGAGGTGTCAGTGAGGCCAGCAGTGGGTGCTCACCCTGCAGTCTGTGTGGGTCCTAATGCCCCAGTGTAGTGACGGGGACACTATAAAAAGTACTGTCCTTCGGATGAAACGTTAAACCAAGGTCCTGACTCTCTGTGGTCATTAAAAATCCCAGGATGTCCTTCGAAAAAGAGTAGGGGTATAACCCCAGCATCCAGGCCAAATTTGCCCATTGGCCTCTGACCATCATGGCCTCCTAACCATCCCCATATCTACTATTGGCTTCATCACTCTGTCTCCTCTCCACCAGTAAGCTGGTGTGTGGTGGGCGTTCTGGCGCAATATGGCTGCCGCCGTCGCATCATCCAGGTGGATGCTGCACACTGGTGGTGGTTGAGGAGATTTCCCGCTTTCATGTAAAGCGCTTTGAGTACCCAGAAAAGCGCTATTCTGTATAAATGTACAGGGGCGGCGCCAGAAAATTTTGACCGCAGGTGCTGAGGGGGTGCTAGATCATTGACAGGGGGAGCTGGGCAATTAATAGTAGGCTAAATATAACCAAAAATAGGTTATTTTTTTTAAATATAAATAATAAAATAAACATAAGGAAAACTCGCCCACTCGATTTTTGTAAGATTTTCTAATTATGTAGTCCGTATGAAAAGGTGCATTTCTATTAAAGGCACGTCCATGTGGAGATGGCGAGTCAGCGTCGGCATTCGGCAACTTCAGCTTTGCACCCGACGCTGACTCAGAAAGCACTAGTTTATTAATAAATAATTAAAATGTCTTCTTTTCCCCAGACACATTCATAATCACTTTGCCGGTACTTTGAGCGCGGAATAGGCTATAATACGCCTGCCTATATATTAAAAGATGGTTTAGTATATTATTATATTAATCAATTGAATATAATATGCGACTAGTTGACTAGAAAAAGGGGGCAGTCCTATACTTAGCAAAAGAAAGCGCTCGATTTAAAAAAATAAAATGCTATAATGGCATTACGAAAAGTGCGACAGCTGCAAATCACATCGTTATTGCATTGCACGGGTTAAACATGCGTATGGAGTCAAAAGGTTTTTTTTTTGAATTATTTATTTATTTAGTTTCTTTTTTATTATCACCTTATTTATTAAATC